TTCCGCCAGCTTCAAAATTTCACACTTTCCTTATTTTGCTTATAACTCATTTGATTCCGCTGATGTTTGGCTTGAAGATCAATTAAGACTTTTAATATTGGCATAGGTTTTGTTAATTGATCCTCACATCGTTCTGCCAACTTCACGGACCTGCCAAAATACATTGAAATTTAATATGCGTTTATCTATAACGAGGCTCACTATGACCGTGCCTATTCTTGTAATTTTTTGCTGCTACAATATAATCTACAATTGTTAATGTTACCTAGAAAAATGTCCTTTTTGGAATTTAATAGCACTCGTAAATACCCAGAGATCATTAAAATTCCAATTTTAACACATACTTCTTCGCAGATACCAAGACATGCTTTTAATGAATCCCTATTATGAATTTTGGTAAATACCCTATCATCTTAGTAGTCCGAAAATTGAGGTCATTTATATTTCAAAGCTTATTTTTAATATACCTTAACCAGAAAATTATGTCATAATTTTAAAAAATTTTTAATGATGGCGTAAATAGATACTAATCGAGAGTGGGGCATGAGATAAAGTCATATCTTTGTTTGATTAAAAATAATGGAAAACCCCTCGAATTTAAATATATTTATAGTTGGAAAAAATTTAAAGATGCCATTTTATATTTATTCAAATGAATAATCTTATATATTGTATAAAAATTATTTATTATAAAAAAAATTGGGGGAGGGAGGGTGGTAATTATTCTAAAAAATATAGTTAAAAATAATTTATCAAGTAAAAGGTATAGAAAAGTAAATTAAATAAAGATATATATTTAACCCATTTAAATTTTCCCTTAAGAGGGCAGAGATTTCAAAAGAATCTTTCACTGTCCTTCACTCCCCTGTAGTTAAGCTCGAGCAATGAAATATTTGTATAAATGTGATCATTAACTATAATAAAATAGAATGATTTAAAATGTGTCTAAATAAAACACCCCTAGGCGTAAGTGAATAATGCCTAGTCAATCCCTTGATTTTCTAAATGCCCTGGTCTTCAAATTTCCAATCTTAATGTTAATCAAAGGAAGGATACTTAGTCTAAATCGTGTTCTGGGTATAACTACCATATATATATACATATGGGGTAGCCGGTAGTGGGGAAGAGGGAATTTACCTCCTTCAAAAATTTGCCTGTTCCCATAAATATTACTAAAAAAATTCTCCCTAGACACCCCAACCCTCTCTCCCCCCAATGTAGCAATGTACAACTATAAGAATTTGAGAGAAAAATTAGTAAAAGTTAATAATTTTTTATAATAACGACTATAATATTTTCAGGAAAAAAAAATTTATATATTAAAAAAGTGACAATCAAGATATTAATTTTATAAAAATCTAACATTGCCAAAGACCTAAACAAACTACAATATTTATGGGTAAAAACATCTCATAATTTTGAAAAATCGGATGATTATTTAAAAAGCTTATTTCATAAATATAACGCCATCTTATGAAGGTAAATATATTTTGATTACATTTTATTTGCTTGGCTGAGCTATTTTAATTTTTAATAATTTAAATATATAATCAATATTTTATAGATACATTCTATTTTTTAATAAATTTAAACTTTTAATTTGAAAATATTAGATTTTAAAATTATTTATCTGTTTTTGGTAAACAGACTCTTAATTAGTATTTATTTATAAGATATATAAATAATGACATAATTTTCATGTTATTAATCAAATCAAAACTATACTAAACTTTAGTGTTGTTAAAGTTACTTTTGAAACATAACTAGTTACAGTTACTAGTTATATTGGCAAAAATATAACTAGTTAAGTTATTAGTTACCGTTATTTTTCAAAAGTAACTAGTTACATTACATTATACATCATTCATATAACGCATTTATTTACTGAACGAATTTATTTAATATAAAAAAATTGTAATCATTTGTTTAAAAAAATATACAATTTATATAAAAAAATAAGTAATATCGGATAATAGATTATTTATATTTAAATCGAATAAAAATATCCTATATATTTGCATTGAAAAAAAAACATTTATTTTTCATAAAAATTTGAGTTTAATAAATGTTTATTTGCTTTTAACAATTGGATTTCAAAATTTTTATCTAGGAGACGCGCTCGTTTCTCTCCAAAGATGAGCTTGCTTAGACTGAATAAACGCTCTACAGGAGCACTTGATGTAATAACAACATTATATTTAATAAAGAGTATTTTTAAATTTAGAAAATCGTCATATAAAGATAATGGGCTGTTATTGGATTTAATAAAATTTTCAATAAATACATCATCATCAATAATATTTTGACGCTTTAAATCAAGGAATCTTACTACATCTAATGATGTTTGTTGCGAACATGAGCCATTTGTGTTAGATTCACAGCGAGGTATTAAAGTATTTATTAAATTTAAAATTTCCATCTTTTTTGATCTATTCTTTTCTTGCCTTATCCAAGGCTAATCAGTTTTAAATAGTGGATGAAGAATAGCAGCAATTATGTTATCATTATCACAAAGATCATGAAACCTGTATCATTGTATCATTGTATTATTAATTTATAAATAATTATTTAATTTAAGTTACCTTTTCTTAATACTAGCTAATATAGCATCTTTTAAAGGTTGACAATTTAATTCTTGAACACCTTCCAGACAGATAAGTATCTGTGTTATTGTTGGGGTATAATAACCTAGATACATATATTTTTCCTTCTAGTATATCAATAGCTTTAGCTACTGGTTGCATAATCTAATTTTTTTAATTGTAAATTATTTATAAGACATTAATTTAAATTTACACTGCAATATTCTTTAATAAAATCACGATCTTGTGATATAAATCTACACAATTCTAATTCATCACATAGTAAATCGAAATCAAAAGGCATTTCAGTGATAATATTTTAAATAAAGATGTATAAAAAGAACCCCATCTTGTTACAATGGGATATGGCAGCTGAGAATGTAATCTCTTTTTAATTTGCTCAGCTGATGGCCCAGATTTGTTTTGTGTAGTCCACAAACGTTGACATTTACTTATAGCCTTTCCTATAATCCTCATTGTAAAAGTATTTTATTGGCATCTTGTGTTGCCACTAAGTTTAATGTGTGACAGGAACATCTTCGATGCCTGGAAGGTAGTCGAAGTCATTTATATTATAATTGGTTAGCCCAGAGGAAGACATTATATCTTCTATTGAAATGTATTCAATATCTGAATCATTATCTTACTTTATTTAGATTTATATATACATATTTTTAAAAGTAACTAGTTACTTTTGGCAGTTACATTAATAAAAATATAACTAGTTACTAGTTACAATTTTAAAATATAACTAGTTACAGTAATTTTTTAGCAAAAATGTAACTACTTACCTTAATAACACCACTAAATTGTTATAGTGCGCACAAATTGAACGTTAGCGTTTTGCTATACTTTTTTTTAAAAAAACTTGCATCTCGTTTTAAATTAAGGTTACTTTTTATTAATATCGTCAACAAATTTTTAACTAAATTATAAAAAGTTGCTTTTTGTAAATTATATTATCGCTTCCCTTTTTATTTCATTAATTAATAATAATCTTTAAAAGATGTGAAAATTATATCTTAACATTTTATATAATATTGCAAAATGAAGAATAAAAAAGTAAACCTGTTTTTTTAAAAAAAATGGTTTCTAACGCAAGCGATAATTTGACCAATTTGCACGATAACATTTAAAATGAATTGTGTTTGCAATGCAGCGTTTGAAACGTTTAATTTTGCCTACTATTAACTATGATTAAATGTAATTTTGAACCGTATAAAAATAAAAGGACCCAAAAAAATAATATAAAATATATAATGAATTTATCATTTAAATTTTGTAATAGAATTTGATGTTTGCAATTAATTTATCTGCCCGCCCATAGTTTTTTAAAAAAAAGATTGATCCACCAACTCATTTTTTAAAAAATATTTTTAAGCCCGTCCATTTAAATTTTTAAAAATTATTTGATTGGTTTGTTCATTCCAATCTTAGAATGTTTTAAATTTAGTAACCCGTCAAAGAAACCACCCAGCATGCTCAACTTTTTATTTATTTTAACCCGTCTGTTTAAGAGCTCTATATAGAGTATATTTTATTAAAGCTTCATAATGCATACATTTAACAATTAGCAACCATTGGAGAATGATCATACTTTTTTTACAACTCTCGATTTATCCAATGCCTAGCATCAAATCGAATTGGGTGAAGACTCAAATAGGTAAGATGTTACTAACACCCCTAATGGATTATATCGGTATAATTGACTACCATTTAAAATCGTTTCAGCCCCGACGATGTTTCAATGTGCCATCGATTCATTACTAAAAGGTCTACCAGTAATAGAAGTAAACTTGGATGACATAATAGTAAGAAGTGGGTTGACGGTAAAGGAGCATGAAATTTTTTTATAAAGTATTAACAGTATTAAGAGACAACGAATTATATTAAATTTTGATAAATGTGATATTTTTGCAGAAAATAGAATTTTTAGGGCATCAAATTAACAAAGAAAGTATATCACCGACTTGAAACATTTGAATGTAATAACGTGAGCACCGATGCCAAAAAATAAAAAGAAGGTTCAAATTTTTTAGGTTTAATAAATTACTGTCACAAATATATACCCAATTTTTAAACAATCACCACACCACTATATTGTTTATTATATAAAAATAAATGTGAATCAAAGCAAGAGGAAGCAATAAAGTTGCTATAAAACATAATCTGCAAACTCTGGTATTGGTTACATTATATTCCAAAAATTCCAATTGCAGTATTATATCATTCTATTTCATCAGCTAACGATAAAAAAAACTCTCTGAATCATTTGTCGTCTAATATTAACAATAAATAAATGTTACAGTCATTTATTGAGAAATTTATATGTGCTCATAATAATATTTTTGAAAATTTTAAAAACGTCCACCGGTAAAATTTTAATGATTCGATATTTAAAAAAATATATAAACGCAGTGGTGGTAAAATATTTATTCCGTACTATTATAATTTTGATTGCTCGGTTCATTTACAATAATTTAAACTATTTTTGAATATTTTTTTTTAAATATGCGAAAATTTTAACAAGTGTACAATTATTACTATGATTATATTTTTTTAAAATGACTTTTAGATTCGATTTTAATATAAATAATAACAAATAACAAAATTTAATAAAAAGCCAACCCATGGCTAGTTTTGTTTCAATCAGTTCGATTAGAATTTTGGGCCACCTGTCTTTGCTTGGCCTTGAGAGATTTATTCTCCTGATCCTCTGGATCGTCGCTGGAGGATGATTCGCCTTCTTCAACAGCCCAACTTTCCTCAACTGCTGCGAGAACGCGTTTTTCGTATTCTCTATATTAATAAATATATATTTATAATTTTTAAAATGTCCATAAAGGCAACAGGGTTGGGTAGTACAGCGAATACTAGTATCTAAGATACAAGATCCTTTTTACTAAGTATCTTTTTACACGTTTTATGATACTTGTATATGTATCTAAGATACTTGTATTTTTTCCATTTTCTTGAAATAAGATATAGATACTTTTAATATTTATGTTTAAAAAATTTAATAATTACATATAACCTTATTTTAAAACAAAAATAAGTAATATATACATTTTTGATAATTAACACTCATGATAATGAAGAAGGTAGTAAAACTGATGAAATGTTCGACTTAATCAAATCTAAAAATTTTAGAGGGGAAATATTTAAAATTATTAAAGTAGAAAAGGGAACGATAAGCCTCAAAGTCACTTAGATTCAGTATGGAGATATGAAAAAATGCGCAAAGCTTTAAATCTTTCTTTGCATGTGGAAGGTCCAAATCCTCAGAAAAGATAAGAGGTAACAGGTAATAAGTTGAAAGTTCCATTCATAACCAGCATTTAGCCTCAATTTAATTATGGAAAAACTGACACCCAGTATTGCTACTGTGGCTCTGCTCATCAGAAATTTTTTAATTTATAAAATATTATTAATAATATATTTAAAATATAATGTGACTTATTCTTTTGCGCCCTCTGAAGCAAAATTTTAGATACATTTAACCTTTCGGGAAAACAAATCGTAACCATGATTTAAATTATCTGTGGTCACCAATTAAATTGGTGATGACTGAGTCATTTTATCTTATACCTTATTGCTGCGAGATCTAGCACAAGCATGCGCGAGAATCCTTTGACAATTAAAGCATTCTACTATATTTTATAAAAAATTTATTATTCAATATCCCAAAACACCTACCTTGTCGTCGTTTCGTTAAATTTCGCTTATTACAAAAATAAAATAAATTTCATTAATCGTGAGTATTGGAATCTTTACCAATCAACCAAATCGGAGGTATAGGACCCAACAGTCCAAAAAACTTTTATTTGTTTATGTCTGTCATTATCTAAAAAAATTATTGTTAATTATCGGAAATACATACACATTTTCGTAGTGAGGTTAGTGGGTCTTTTTAAAAAAAACAATTATAATTAAAGAAATTATTGGTTATTATTTTTAGATGTTTTTACAATTCGTGTCAGATTTCAAAAAAAAATAAGTGAATTGGTTGTATAAAAAATTTAATTCTTTCCACCACCCCCCCCCCCCCAAAAAAAATAGGTCTACCACAGGATTCTAATTTCCTTTAGATAAATGCAATTTTGATGATACAATTGTTAGATTAGTAAAATCAAATGTTAAGTGATAATTGAAGACCTATAATCTTATTAAATTAGTTAATCAAATCAAATCCTTTGCAGTGTCTAGCCAATCTCCATCTATCCACCCAGATCAATTTTAAAAAATTATATAAATGTTTTATTTTGCATTAAAAGGTGATCAAAAAAATTTTCTAAATAAAAATTTATGAAAACCTTCTATTTTCTTTGTAAAGTTGGGCGGCTAGATTGTTGGCAGGGCTGTTTGGGTTAGGGTCACTGAGGAGACTCTATAATAGAATACATAAAAAAATTACATGTTTCAATTATATCTTTTTCAATTTGTTACATTTGCCTTAATTTCGGACAAAAATTAAAAAATAGTTAAGAATCTCTCAGTGACATACCACATGTCTATTTTCTTTACTAAAATATATTTATCTATCTTCCATTTTACCTTCCTCTACCACAAATAAATAATTTAATATAAGGAATAAAATAAATTAAGACTTGAATAGATGTGAGAATAGCTGAAACGTCGTACGTTGGACTCCATCTGTTTTGCAGAATATCGAGGCATATAGCTCCGTTGGCGTAAACTTTGTTGAGATAAATAGATGAAGAAAATATAAAGAAAAGTGTGAAAAAAGGGCGGAAAAACAATAGGGAAGAATCATTTTAGCGAATATGACTCTTAAGTCTTATTTTACATAAAAATGAAAATAATGGAGAAAATAAAGTTTTTATAAACCGTTAGGGTGGAACATTTTCGAGACAAATCTCACAGTGGGAGGTTTATTGGGATATTCCTCGCTGAACTCGATAGTTAGTTTGAAGGTTCCGTCTTCAAATGGAGTTTCTTGAGGGCTACAAGTGTATAAAAGGCGTCATATATTTTAAAAATTTAACCTTTATTAAAAAATTAATAAAAACTTCAAATGAAAGGATAGTCTTGAGAAAAAAGACTGACGATATCAGAATTACTCCTTATGTAGTATATAAATTAATATTTCTTTAAGATCGTCTAATTATCGGTAAAACCAAACCGCTATATATTTGTAGAAGCGAAAATGATTTTTTTAGTATTCCTTTATGTAAATACAGCGAAATATGAGAAAATGATATTAAGTTATAAGGTGTTAATTACAATGATGCAACTCCGGGAAGCGTTTGGGGGCCCCGCACTCCAAAATTTCTTATCCTCCCAAATAAAAAATCTGTCTTTATATAGTAATTTGAAAAAGTATAAATATTACATTTGCTTGTAAATTACCAAATACCATTTATAATAATTTTTTTTATATTTTACCATAATATCGATTTTTAGTAAGAATATTAATGATATATAGAGTTAGCCATATATAGCAATTTCAACAACGACCAAATTTTATTAAAATAATAAGGCCCATTTTTATATATATTAACGGAATCATGCGGTCGCTTCCGATATTCCAGATTATCACTTCTATGAAATATCAGAATTCATTAAATATGTATTTAAAAAATTTGCCGGTCCTAGCCCGTTGATTTTTTTGCCCGACCTGTCCCAAATAAATTTTAGTTATCCTGCCCGCCCCTGGGTTGGGCTGGGCTTTGCAATGGATCTGGATTCAAAACCAGAAGACCTATTTTTTTTGAAGCCAACAGGTGGTTCTGTGCTATTTTTTATAATCACTCCCCAATATTATAAATAGTTGTTTATTTTAGTGTGTTCAACAAAATACATTTCGGTTTAGCCATGTATTTTAAAAAAAATTATACGGACTGGACAACCTTAAAAAAATTGAAACAGGGCCAGGCAAAAATATTGCAATATCTAACTGCGAATTCATTTTATGGTTAAAAAAATGCATTCAACATGCGTATGTAGTGATATGCGATAAATACAAATTGATGCCCGCTAACCACATATATAATATAATTCATAAAAAAATTTAAGTTTACTAAAAAAAATTATCATAAAATTATGATTATTTTCAAAGTCCTATTCGATTTCTAATGTTTTTTTTCCAGATTTGATTTCATCTAGAAATTAAAATTATAAAAAATTTACTAATAAAAATTTTTGGCATTTCTAGTCAAAATTTGATCTAAAATCTAGGTTTTCGGATGACCATCTTTAAAATAAACAAAACTTAGCATGATAGTTATTTATATTGTATGTTAGTAAAATCAAAATTTTAGAGTGCTAGCTCAAACAGATCCAAAGATATAGCCTTCAAAGTCGAAAACCGCGAAGTGCGTGATTTGATTAAATATTGTTTTTTTTAAAAATACTTAAGATAAAGTTACAAATTATATATCATTTTATAGCCCTTAAAATTTTACATTGGAAAATATCGAAAAATTTCTTATTTCCGGTAAAAATAAAAAATTAACATTTCAGCGATCCCATAACAGTGACAGGACGTACCTACAAATTAACGCCTCAGCGCAAAATGGGATAAAATTAAAACAAGTGGTTTTTTTATAATTGTTTGATAAAATCTTAAAATATGTTTATTTTAAAATATATCGTCCTAATAACCATATCCATATGGGCAGTTTCCTTACTTATTGTACCAGGATATCATATTGGTTGAATTTAATCTTAATCGATTTATTTAATTTTAATACCAATAAAATACATATTTTTATTAATTATATCATATTATAAAATCTTTTTTAATATAACGCCATATATATTACCTTTTTCTATTTAAAAAATAATAAAATTTTAATAAAATTAAAAAACAAAAATGGCTATCGAGATTTTTTATTAAATCGTTTAATATAAAGGTAATAAACATTTTTAGAGAATATCAACACCCAAAAAAAATCCCTTCCTAACAATGTTAATTTTTTATTTTTACCGGAAATAAGAAAACACTTAAAAAATTTTAATTTTTTTTCGATATTTTCCAACATAAAATGATATATAATTTGTAACTCTATCTTAAGTATTTAGAAAAAACTAGATTTAATGAAATCACGCACTTCGCGATTTTCGACTTTGAAGGTGTATTCTGATTACTAGCACTCTAAAATTTTGATTTTATTAACATTTACAACATAAATAGCTAACATACCAAGTTTCATTCATTTTTGAGATGGTGGGCCGAAACACTGGTTTAGTAATTAATCTCTTTCAATCGCAATGAAATTTGGTTTCTTTAATGATGTGTTTATTATTCGTAAGAAGGTTAGGTTAATTCTATTAAAAAATATATATATGACATGTCAAATATTAGTAAAAAAATAATATTGTATGTTCAAAATGTTTTGTTTGAATTTGTTTTTATATGTATTTTAAAATTATATTAGTGGAAAAAATCTCACCTCACAGTTTTCAACTCATCTTAAATATCAGTCGACAATAAAATATCAGGTTCTATAGTATCCCAACTTAAGGGATTCGATAGTAGTAACTAACGGAATTTTTTTTTAAGATGCATTTAATATGCAACTAAAAGTTGCGAATATTACATAAATTATGCATTTGCAATTTATTTATCTTCCAAATTTAAAAAGGTTATATAATATGAGAGCTTTCCAGAGGTCGAAAATATCTGCCCGGCCCAGATTTTAGTATTTTTTTTGCCCAGCTCGAATATTCAAAATTTTGTCATATCGCACCCCTGCTCGGATTTTTAGAATTTCTAATAGGTTGAGGAAAAATTCTATCCCAGTTTTGGCTAATCAGAGGATTATTTAATACTTCTAATAACTTTTAAAATCCTCTATTTTAAAAATGGAATATCATAAAATGAAGACAATTCTTTGTTTTGTAGCAAGGGAAGAATAATGAACACATTATAAAGAAGTATTCTTTGGTTTAGCAATAAAATAATACTATAATTTATTTTTATCACGCATACACATTAGTGAGATATATATTAGGTGTAGGCATAGCCCTATCCGGTCAGCAGGTCGGTCAAATAATTTTTGGACGCGATTGAACAAATATCTTTATCAAGCTTTCAGTTGCTTCTTCTTTCTTCGAGAATTCGAACAGTTGTAGAAAAATGCCGATCACAACTAACACTGAAAGCCGGAATTGCTAAAACATTTGTAGCTAGTTTGACAAAACCGGAAATTTGTTCGGATGAGCTGACCATCAATCTAGCATATTATCTACTTGAAATTAGTGTGATAATCAAGCAGACTATATTCATCTGATAAACAAAATTTAGATGGCTGACCCCTTTTCATATTCGATATAAATTTGTAGGTATATTCACATATGTTCTAGTTATATTAAAAAACAAATACTCGTTAACAATTATATTATTTGAGATAATGGGGTTTTAAGAAATCAAGACCTGTTTTTACCCTCTCTCGATGTTAAATAATAAGTCATTAATTAAAAATTAAATCACAAAAATATTAAATTGATTGTGGAGGAAAAATTTGAAACTTTTTTTAAAGATTGGTATTTAATGTCTAGTAGAAATGAAAGTTTAAATTTAATTTTCAAACTGACTGGGAGATTCCATTTTTTTCCCTGCTGCTCGTTCACTATTTTTCCAATAATTTCTCCAATTATTATTAAAAAAATATCGCATATGTATAAAAAACGTCGAGACGGTACTACATATGAACGTTTCAATAAAATAAAAGCTTTTTTTCATTGTTTAAAACCATAAGGCAATAAAATTGATTTAAAGCAATCTACATACGTTCTAAAAAAAAGTTTGGGTTAAGTGAAAAAGCTCTGAACCATAATCAGGGTGGGTTCAGAGTCCAAAAAAATAAGAGCCTATAAAATTTAGTTAAAGCAACAGTCTTTTTTTAAAATTAATTTTATTATATTTAGTATTCAGATTCACCAATATGGAACACCGATAACAATTTTCGCCAATGTATAATCATGGGTAAATTGTGGACTATTATCTTACCAGAAGTCAAGAATATTTACATCCTCATTAATCCTTTTAATTGAGAATATTTCTAATAATTGATGGGAAATCTGTTCACTTTCATGTCGTGTTTATTTCATCTAATTTTCTTTTTCTAAAAAGCAACTTTCAAAATCATTATAATTTTCGCAAGATATGTAACTTGCATCTAATTAACTATTTTTACCTTGTGATTTCGTTCTTTTCTGGTCATCCTTTTAATTTAATAATCCAACAAATAGTAATATTCCCAAAATATATATTATCTATTGACAAGCAGGGAAAATCTTGCCCTAAAATGGAATCGCTAGTAGTCTATCTTCTCGTCGGTAGTATGATAATAATATTTTAGAATGAGAATAAAGTCTTATATTGTTAACTATTGAAATAAAAATTTAATAATCAATATCGAATGAATTTCTCTCAAAATAATATGTATATCATATAAAAATAGTATATTATGTTCAATTTACGTAATATAAAAGTTTAATTTTTTAATATAACATATGATCGCCTTAAACCGTCATTATCTAAAATGAAAAAGTATATTAACACAATAAAAAATAAATCGTTACCAAAAAAAAAAAAATTTAATAAAAAAATAAGCATCAAAACAATGTATTACATTTGATTTTTTGTATAATAATGAAATTACAATTTATGAACGAGTAATATAGGGAAAGAACTCGATTGACATGCGAGAGATATCTTAAGGAAGGATAATTAAAAGTTTATACAATCAATAAGTACAAACAGTAGGGGTATTTTATCAATAACTTTGAGAAAGTAGGAAAAAATAAGTAGGGAACTATATGCAAAGAATCATTGATAGTCCTTACCATTTATGGCCAAGGAATTGTATTTTTATTTGAATGCAATCAACATTTACAAGGTATTTTAATTGAGTAATAATAAAAGGGATATAAAGTATAATTGAAACATTATCTTGTTGTATTTTAATTTTTATATACAATGATTACAAACAGTAGA